TCGAGCATTGACGGGAATGATCACACGACCGAGTTCAACGACGCCTAGGACCAGATCTGCGCCGGTGGACGGTTCGAGCTTCTGCGTCGGTTCTGTGTCGGGTTGGCTTCCGCGCTCCCCAACACGAATTCAATCTAGTTCGAGATTTCCATTCTCAAGTGGGAAACGGACGCGTATCGCGAGAACTTCCTCAATCTCTCCTTGGAGGGCATCTTCCAGGCGAAGAAATTCGACCTGCTGGGCTCGTTGTGATAAACCCGCCTCACAAATGGGCACTTTTGGGCTATATTTCGACAGTTCCACTTTTAGGCCCAGATTCTTCCCACTTTTAACCTAAAAGTAGGAAAAGTGGAAATTTCCACCTTTAATGGGCCTTGGGTTAGGGTTGTTTCTGAGCAGGGGAACATAAGATTTCACAAATCTCAAATGTCAGACCCCGCCTGTTAACCATACTGAGGTGTAGTTAAATTTCTAGCGCTTCTAATTGGTACACAAAAATTCTCCTGATTAAAGCCGATCAACTTGAACTAAGCCTCGTAATTTAATAAATTCGATTTGATTACGCCTCCATACATTTCAGGATTAAACAATGTCGGATTTTTCCGGGGAACACTATAATTGTAGCCACAAGCATGACGGGCAGCTCGTCCGGTGCCGTGTAGTTGAAGCCTGGTCCGAGTGCTCAGTGCTGTCGATTTCGATTGCACCGGAAAGAACAAAATGTATGCAAATTCATATGAATTCTAGTCGAACCGCAATCCGAGGAGCTCACTGAAATCAATATCACAATCACTACCCTCATTCTGCACATAATGATGCTCAAGTTGAGAGTATTCACAAATCGCTCATCACCAACGACCCTGCAACCTCCGTGGCAAGCTCGTCGACTTTCTTGTAAACGTCAGTTTCCTTGAGGCGAACCAAAACCGTACTTGTAACGTCGGCGTCAGCAACGACTACTGGAAAAGACAGAATGCAACGCCCACCGAAGATTTATGTGACATACATCGAATATTATCCAATCATATTCTATTTTTGAAATAACACGACATCATTGGCGGAATTTTTATGTTCGCCTCGTGGGATTTATATGCGACTTGTAATTTAATTTCATTTTGAGTGATTAAAATTAGTCAAAGGCACTGTGATAGGCTAAAATAACCATCGAACTTCGAAGCTCTCTGGCCAACCAGAATCCAGAATTTCATGCGACATCGAAGACAAGATGGGCGTTGCATTCTGTCTTTCCCAGTACTTCAGGGAGCATGCCACGACTCGCCAACGCCATCTTATGCATATGAGGTATGCGGTAGTTGTTGGTTCCATACCCTTCGACAATTTCCTGCATGCACACGTCCAATGTAACGAATTTGGAGTCCATCGCGCCAATACCGATAACTGTTCAAGCAGCGTTCGCCGCATCAATGATGTCGTCAACACGATGCGCGTGGCTCTTCTCTTCCACAGAGTGGATGGCGCGCGGAAGAAACCAAGATTAATAACGTTCAAGTCGAGCGAGTTGGAGTCGTACATACAGCAAGACTCGCCGGATTCGGCAGTGTTACGTGCCATTTTGCATTGTCTTGTAGAATAAAGACGTTCCTCGTCGATGAACACGGTCACTTCGATTTGATTGCTGGAATCACCATGTTGATCATCATTGTTCGGTAGACGGACCGAGTCATGGGTATCGGTTTTGCTCAAGGTCGCCGGCAGGCTCGTACGCTGTGCAGCAACCGTCTCAGTAAAGTGGAAAGTAATGATTTTGCTGTCGAAACAATTGGATGTCTCATCTCCTCACCTAAGGCGGGGAACCGCGGACAAGAACGTCACATTGATGATAAAACAATTGGATCGGAAGGTTCGATGCGGAGGCTCCTCGCCCAGTGCGATGTTCAGTCTGATGCTAAACGTTAAGACACTTCTAATATCGCCCATATCTTGAGCAACAGTAGCGTGTGCGAGGAGGCGTTGATGTTCTTATGATTCGATTGGGCTCCAAAGTGAAATCAACTCAAACTCCTGAGAAACCGTACGACACGCAAAATTCGAAAATTCGTTTGTGTGCAATATGATAAAAACAATCTACCAGCGGCACATAAGCGCCCTCAACAACACTTTATATATGCACAATCACTCTCTTAGTAGTTAACTGGCTTTCCAGACGACTTCAAAACAGCAATGCAGCAGGACTTCATGCTTCGAATAAGCTTTTCGAGGTACTTAAGGGCCAGCGCATTCCAGTGCACTAAAATGGCATGCATACTGCTTTCCGCCGCCACACACACGTTGACATAGGTAGCCTCATACATTCTCAATCGGATTGAGGACTGGAGAAAGGGCTGGCCACTTAATAGTGACAATGCCGTTGTCATCTAAAATTCTTCCGTCTCATTCGACGAATGAATCAAGGCATTATCGTGCTGGAAGACGAACTCATCAGCGAAGCGAGCATGGGCAGATGGGAGCATAACGTCCGATATCGTCGTGATATTAGCAGACGAATCCTGGCGGCCTTCCAAGAATGCCAACTCCGACTTTCCATCAGCCCAAATTGCTCCCCACACCACAGCCGACCCGCCACCATTTTGGCGACTGAATGTGCCTTCATATCCCGTCCGATGCAATGCCAGTAGGATTTGAGACCATCGGGACATCAAGGTTCCACTTCTTCTCATCCGAGAAGATAATTCTACTCCAGGAATCCCAACCGATGTCGACGGTTTGTTCCGCCCAACGTACGCGCTCTTGCATGCGTATTTCGGTAAGACGTGGCTTCTTGATCATCTATAATCGTGTGGACGAGTTGAGCAGGCGTGTGATGGTCGTTCGGTAGGCGCAGAGATTGAGCTCATGTTAAATTCGATTGCAACTTTGGGGTGCCCTCGTCAGCAAGGAGAATATGTGGCGCTTGTCACGGTCACAGAGCTTGGTTAGGCGGCCACCAGAGAACTGCTTGCCGTATATTTGGATCACGAAGGACTTGTAGACAACTGTACGACTTCGATTGATGAAATTAGCTGTCTCGGCTACACTAAGGCCGAATTAGACGCAAACTTCGATCTTTCCTTGCTCGAGCTCTGTCAGCTGCGCGGCATGGCCCATATCGTGGTTGCAAAGTGTCGTCAAGGCTGCGAAATGGAAACTGAGATCAACAGACTTGCTTTGAGGAAGGTACTTTATTGAATTCTTCTGGGCGGGATGTTTTGCATCATGCTGTAACGTTTTCGACGAAATCAAATTAAAATTGTGAGCTCTGAAGATATATTATGCAAGGTTATAAATACAACATGAATCAACCTCTACAATGCGTTGTACCCATACTTCCTCGTCGCCATGTAGTCTTCGATCAATGCCATGTGGTCGATCCGAAGGAACTGTATCATGTGGGCAGATGTCACGACCATCTCCTGGCGTCGTAGGTATGTGACCAGCTCACGTGGTTGGGGGATGTTGGTCTTGCCACCATATGTGCCAGTGTTCTTCTTCCGTGTCTTGGATCCCTTGAACGACATCATGGTGTCCTTCGTTTGTAGCCATCGGCGCACGAATCTTACCGGGTAACCAATTGCTACAGCTGCGTGCTGAACATATGTTTTCTCCGCCAAGAGGACAGCATTGAGGTTTTGTGCAAGCTTTGGACGCTGTCGACGATTTGGCGTTGCAACGTCCATGGGCAATGGTGGTGGATTGACTTACAAGGTTATCAAAACGTACATGGATGTAGGCTTGAAGATTGCGGGGGATATATTTAACCAATAGAATTCTTCCATTTGATTTGATCACTTTTGATTGGATAATTCAAACTAATATTCCAAGTTTTTTGGCGCGGACTTATTCAGCGTCGTTTCCTGTATGCGATCGGAACGTCGTTCGTTTGACCTTTGGAATAGTCTTAAGTTGTTCAGCAATTGATACATGCATTACACGTTGCCACTGTTACCCTTTTTGCGGGGGGGGGGTACATCCGCGCATGGAGGATTTGAATACATGTCCACATGTGCTCGCTTGCGGCCACAACGTGGTAGTTGTCGGTGGGAACGACGCACGCTACGGCGGCAGGAGCTTCGACATCACTGCTTGCAGCGACGATGACAACTTCATCACCTGGTGTCGTCCATGCATAGCTCCTGCATCGTCCGACCAGACTCGAGATTCTCCATGTCGCCATTGTCAATTTCCTTGGGCTTGTCACAAGGCGTCTGTGTGTCTTGGCTTGATAGCGCACTTGCTTCGTCGGTGCAGGGTGCACATTTGATGATAGCAGAGCGAGGCGCTCGCCGCCCAGGGGGCAGCGGCCTGTTGACCATCGTCAATTGCACCTCGCCCGTTTTATTCGAGTCTCAATTGGGACTAAATTGAGAAATGCCGGTAGCTTCCCATGTGCAGTTCACACGGATCGCATGGGCAGCGCTACAGCTAGGCGGGCTACGAATCGGCATAGAA